CACACCACTATAACGGGTCCTTAAGTTCAGGGTGAACCAATCGGCTCCAATGTGCTTGGTTCATGTTGACCCCTCTATCCTTGTATGGCGAATCATGCAAAAAAACCCCCTGAACTTGACTATCAGTTGCAGATTAGCCCCTAAACCAAATTCAGAAGCATACCACCCCTTATACTCTTTCATATTGGCAAATAAGCCCTTGTTTGAAGGTTGACCGTTGACGTCATCATTCTGTCAAATAACTAACGGTGCTCTTGCTTCACTCTACTGGCTGCTGAGTTGAAAACAATGTGGGTCCCATGTCATCAAACTTATTTTTTTTGTTTTTTTGATCATTTTTATCATAGGACCGATAGAACCGTAGTTTTTGGGGAGAGAGAAATGAACCTACAATAGTGGCTAACACCACTTGGTCCATAGGTCAGGTTCCATCAAACCTACTAATATTAAAGCATTTTATGAAACAACATTTTAAAAGTTAGAATTTTAAGTACTTCTGTACATGTAGAGCCAAAACTTTTTTCTTTTTTTCTTTTTTTATATCTGCCGCAAATAATTAAAGTATCTCACAAATTTTCATTAAAAAAATTACAACTTGTTTTTGGTATTTTTCTTTATTTATGTGGATTGTGAGGAATAAATTAAATTTAAACTTAAATTTTTATCTTTATTCTTCATTTTGTGTCCTGAAATTGTTCTTTATTTTTTTTTTATTATTTGTCTTTCATTATTTGTCATTCATACTTAATTTTTTTATTTTTTTGAATATAGAGTTATAGAAGAGAAGTGAATTTTACGTTGTATATGGAATTTGAAGTTTATCATTGATGATTGACCGTTTGATTTGGATCAAAATTATGTGTTCGATTTTTTTTTCTTTGTATTACTTTAGCTTTAGGATTAGACTAACTATAAAAGGAGAAATTATGTATATTTAAGATAAATTAAGTTACATTTTTTTTTTTATGATTCTGTTGTTAATATACTTAAGTAATAAATATATCTATACATTTTTTAATATAATTTTTCTTGATAGTTCTACTGTTATTATTATTATTTTTTCGCTGCCCAATGCCCAAACTGATTAGTCGTTTTAATAGGATTCTTTTTAACAAAACTTGAATTAAATAAATAATAAATACTAAAAACTTTAAAAGTTGAATTTATTAGTGAATAAGTGTTTTTTTGTAAGCTAAATTTACAATTTAAATCTTAATACTAACACTTAAAGAATTAAAATTTTTAAATATATCTAACTAATTAAGGGTATTTAAAATTACTTGAAATAGGATTAATATTTAGACGTGTGAAAACTGCCAAAGAACATTCTAATAGTAATTAGTAAAAAAAAATTACGACAATGGTACATTTTGTAAATTTAGAATAATGTGTAATTTAATTTAAAAAGTATATTATTCTCTTACCTTTTTATTTATTTTGACGTGATCCCACTTGCCATGCAATTGTCAGTCCAACTCTAAAACCAACAAAATGAAGGCTCCGTTAGTTTTTTGACGGAACAATGCGTCAACCGTCCAAAGGGCTCATTTGCCACTGTTGAAGAGTATAAGGGGTGGTATGCTTCTGAATTTGATTTAGGAGCTAATCTGCCACTGATAATCAAGTTTAAGGGGTATTTTTCAAAATTTGCCTTCTTGTATAGTTATTCTACTTTTATTGATTTTTTAAAATAATGAATTTGAATTATTCAATGGTTTATTTTAGTAGGATTTGCCATTTAATGGGGTCATGAAATTTACACGTGAAAGAGAGGGTGCATGGACTTGGGCCAGACCTTTAACTACATAGCTAGCTCATGCAACATTAATCATCAAAATCCAGTTAGAATAAATAAATTAATATGAAATTCAAAAAAAAAAAAAAATCTAGTTAGAATGGCATGGTCCTGCTCGGCCGACATCCATGAATGAAACGTCCCCACTGCTAATAAAAACTAAGTTAGAATTACAATTTAATCCCTAAACTTTTAAATTGTTATTAAAATTATTTTTAAATTTAAAAAAGTACTAAATTTGTCAAACTTAAATTCTCATTACCAATTTCATCCTTTTGTTGATGAAAGCAACAAGTGGCAAGCTAAGTTGCTAATAAATCATAATTTTTTTAGAAAAATATGTTTTAAAAAAATACACTTGTGTTGCTGATGCGGCAATTTTCACATTCTACATTAGATTTTCATGTATTTCACTCTTCCCGTTTAGTGGAATCCACATCTAGTGTTGCAGAATTCGCAATTAGGTGGGCGGGGATTCGCAATTAGTTGGAATTGGGGGAATCACTGCATCGACTTGACTCCGATGTGGCCTATTTTTGTCAATCTGCTTCGTCTTCTTTGATTACTCAAATGCCAAGCCCTTTTTAGCCGCTGTAATCACGTCTAGTTGCAATGAGCCATGAATAATGGCAATTTAAGGGCTCTGTTTCACCAACTAGTCAAGAAAGACAGGGCATTTGTTTTGGAAAATTCTCTTTATGGTACGATTCACTAGATTTCTCTTTATTATTTAGTGAAGGCACAATTTGTAATTTTATATAAGTAAAATGCTTTAATAAAATTTATTATAAGTGTATCAAGAATTTCTATAATGTTTATAATACTTTTTTAGATGTAATAGTTAAATTATTACATTTTTATTAATATTAATTAAATAAATTACCAAAAAATTAAAAAATAACAATAAAAACTCTCTCTATATAATTTTCTCTCAGTATTTTTTCATAATTAGAATTGAATGTATTTTATTCAATTTCAAATCACTCAATATTTAAAATAAGTTTTTTGAATTAATTCAGTTAAAGTTTTAATTCACTGAAATATTTCACTTTGATTAATAATAAAAGAACCTTTTTTTATTTAAAAGATTAAAAAAATTTTGTTAATTGAATGAATTATATTAAAAAAATCAAATTTTTGGTAATCAAAACTGAATTTTTGAATTAGGTTTAATTATTAAAGTAAAAATCATTAATCAAAATAATAAAAGACCACAGAAAGAGTTTCAATTTTTTTAAAAAAAAATTTAATAATTTTTGAATTAGGTTTAATTATTAAAGTAAAAATCATTAATCAAAATAATAAAAGACCACAGAAAGAGTTTCAATTTTTTTAAAAAAAAATTT